GGTGGAAATTACAATGCCTTTTATGACCTAACCTTGGAAGTCACACATCGTCACTTCCACCACGTTGGTCACAGACATCAACCCTATTCATTGTGAGAGGGGACTACACAGGAGCAAGAATACAGAGGCAAGACTCATTGGAAGCCCTTTTAGAGGCTTAGGAGCCTACCATAGCCCTGAACCCACTGCCGTAGCATCAATTCCGACTCGTAGAGACTCCCATAGGGTTTCCAAGGCTGTAAATCCTTACAAAAGTAGATGGCTTCATCTTCCTCCCATGGAGCAGCTGGTGCATTTGAACCTCCAACCTTCTGGTTAGCAGCCAAATGTCTTCCCCGCTGCGCCACCAGAGCTCTTTACTATAGCCCTAATACCGTCAACCCTGGAATGGGTTCATCGATCTGGTGAGAAAACTCAGTGGCACTTGGCTCAGCCTGATTATTTCTGAGAGGGAGACAGCTTCCACAGTGGGTTCTGACCAAACTGGGCCATTTTTATTCATGATCATTAGAACATACGTGTAATGTTTTACGATAATGCCAGTTTTAGACACCGGGCAATTGAAGCTTCTAGAGGTGATGTAAGGAACCCTGGTGGGAGAGTGGTTAAGTGCTTGGCTGCTGACAGAAATGCTGACAGTTCAAACCCACCCAGCGGCTCTGCAGAAAGACTTGGTGATCAGCTGTCCTAAAGGTGACAGCCTAGAAAACCCTAGGAGGCGGCTCTGCTCGGTCACGTAGGGTCATTGAGTCGCCATCCACTCAACGAGACACCCAACAACAACAGAGCTGTTGCCTAAGGTCAGACAGCCAGTGAGTGACAGAACCAGGGCTGAAGTCAAGTCCGGACCCTCCCACCCAGGGTGAGATGCTAATGGAATTTCACACAGCAGCCAGGGTTGGTGAGGAGGACCTTTCAGAACCGACAGGGGCTGGGGGAGGAGCTTGGTGGTGAGCCTCCCTTCAACAGTCTTTACCCAGGGAGCGACTGTAAAGAACTTGGTCTCGAGGCTTGTTTTCTCCAGAACCCGAGCTGCTTCTCTGGTGCCCCCAGCCATCCCCTCGTGGCCAGCAGCCAGCCCCAGCAGGTGTTTACCGCTTTATTCACAGAAAGCACTATCATCACGCTGCCCCACCTGCCTTTGTCCTCTGGGGTGGGAACAGAGCCAAACCTGAATGGGGGGCTGGTGTTAGCCAGAATGGTTAGTTGGCTCTGGGTAAACTCTGTAGACATTGTTTCACTGGCTTCCTAATTTAAACACCTTCCACTCCCCTGCCATCTTCACGGTCTGTGCTCTCAGCTGTCTGAGCCCTCCCCAGGGAGGTTTCTGAGAATTTCACCTGCACTGTGGTTCTAACTAGTTTCTCTTCATAAAGAAACTTTAAAAAGGAGTGAGAGTGGTACAGACAGAGCGAGAAACACCCAAGGTCAATGCGGAAACCTGAAGACTAGCTTGTTAATGTCGGCACTTCAGGCAGCAGGAGAACTAGATTCTGAAGCAGGGGTTTTGGCCTTATCTTCCTTATGTACCTGCGGCCCAACACACACACACAAACACACACACTCACTCATACAAACTCACACAAATGCACACACTCCACCTACACTTGGTGTTGCTGTGAGATTAGAGAGCTCTCTGAGGCTTGGACTTGGTGCCAGGAGAGGAAGATTGAAATCTGGCTCGGCGGTCAGCCTGCTGTGGGACCTGTCTAGTCCCACCTCTATCCCAGCCTCACTTTCTCCATCTGTAAGAGGAGGAGGGATGTGAATTACAATGGATTCTCAACCCAGGCTGCTTGTTGGAGTCCCCTGGGAGACTTTACAAACAATACAGATGCTGGGTTTTGCCCTCAGAGGGATGGCCTGGATGTTTACAAATGTTATAGCTCTGTGGATGATTCTAGGAGCTCTGGTAGTGCAGTGGTTAAAGCATGTGGCTACTAATCAAAAGGTCGGTGGTTTGAGCCCCCCAGCTGCTCCGTGGGAGAAAGATGAGGCAGTCTGCTTCCATAAAGATCTACAGCCTTGAAAACACAATTGAGAGTTACTATGAGTTGGGATCGACTCATGACGGTGGGTTTAATCTGGTTTGGTTTTGACTGTTGTTGGTGGTGCAGATGGTTTGATGGTTTGAGTTCACCTGGAGGCATCCAGGAAGAAAGGCCTAGTGATCTCACGCCAAAAAAACAGTCACTGAAACCCTGTGGATCACATGGTTCCACTGTGACACACAGAGGGTTGCCAGGAGTCAGAACCGATTCGAGGGTAACTAGTAACAGGTGATTCTAATGAGAAGAGCAATAAATGAACCCAAACGTGGGATTCAGAGTGTTTGCAAACTCCCTGGAAATATGAAAAATTGTGTCTGTAAGTCCTGAGATTATATATTAAAAAAAGATTGACATTATCTTCAAGGGCCCTAACACACAGATCTTTAAATATAACCAAAAACTTAATTCTTGGGAAGAGTGCCACCTGCTGGTTTCACTTTGTATTCTCAATACCAAATCTCTGCCCAAGCAACAGCCTGCAATCTGTTATTGATTGAGTACCCACTCAATGTGCAAGCTACTGTGATGGAGCCTTTAGGACATGCAGAGGTAAGAGCTTTGTTCCACCCGGAACACGCAGACTGGAGGGGACGACGGGCATATTCAGAAAGTCCTGTGATCCAGGGCACACAGGGTGGGAACCTGGGACTTGGCCTCAGGCAATGTGGGCAGTTGCTCAGACTCCATGCTCGGAAAGCCTCCCCACACTTGCTCTAACACTCTGCTGTTGCTATCTCAAAATCCCTAATACATTTTGAACAAGGAGCCCCATATTTTCATTTTGCACTGGGCCCTACAAATTACGTATTTGGTCTTGCCTATGGTTGAGGAAATCCTAGGGGGTCATTGGATCAGGTCTGGAAGGCGAGGGGGTGGTGGAGGCAGGGGACAGGAGGAAGCGTATAGTGCAGTAGGAGAGGAAGGGGGCTCCGGACATGGTGGGTGGGTGGGTGGGAGGTAGGAGCTAGATCAGGTGTGCTGCAAAGGAATAGGAGACGGGAGAAGACAGCCTTGACCTTAGGTGGGGTCCAACCAAGGTGCAGGGAGGACTGCCAAGGGCAGGCCCAGCAGCTGGAACTCAGGAGACAGATCAGGGCTGGAGCTGTGAGGTCACAGGCTTCCAGGTGGGTGCATAGTCAGCACAAGGAATGTACACGTTGGCCCTTCCCTCTGGCAAAGGGTATAAAACTTCATGGCTAGGCCTGGGCTTTGATGTCTGGGACTCCTGTGCTGTGAAATGGCAGAGAAACTTCTTGAGGGCAGGGCTAAATGGGCCCACCTCCTCATGGGATGGGCTAGGAAACACCTCTTTGGCCTCCCTGTAAGAGGCTTCTGGCTTGCACATTACCTGGGGATGGGGGGCTCATGCCCTCCTGAGGTGGGCCCACTTTGTGGGGACATTTCTCATTCAACTTGTTCCCTGCATTCCTCAGCCAGAATTCACCCTCAGAGCCCAGGAGGGACTTTAACAAGACTCTGCTTTACCTAGTCACCTGGGTTTACTTAGCCCAGACCGTGGGGAGCCTAAAGAGAAAACCCCATTTCCTCTCCTCTAGGAAACATGGCTTCCTTTTTCTTGTGGGGCTTTCCATGTTCTGGGGGAGGAGATTCACAGGAAATGAGCGCAGGAGGTTGAAGGCCTGACTGCATTTCAGCCCGGTCCCTCCCATTCAGCACCACCAGGGGCTTCAGGCTGCTGACACCCGTGGCGGCCATCTTGGTTCCAGCGACCCAAGCGACTGCCTTGCTGTTTTCTTTGCTTCCTGTAACAGTCAGATGAGGCAGCATGGGCGGACTCTCTCAACCAGGTTGCTGCCCGTCCCATGCCAGGAGTCTTGAATGGAATTGTCCCGGGAGTCTTGTGTGGGCCTCCGGGCCTGAGGTACACCCCTGCTTGGGATGAAGGAGGAGCTGGCAGGCTAACTCACTCCCAGGATTGACAGGTGGCCTCAAGGGCAGGAACAGAGGCTCAGAGATGCTGGGTGCTTCTGAACCTTGCTTCCTTTCCCAGAAAGGGTTGAAAAAGTAGGTTTACTGCTCCACCAGACTTGTGGTCCCTTTTTCTCTTGGGAGGGAGGGGCAAGCAGGGGTTGGTGAGGAGGATGGGGAGGTGTGTGCTGGGGAACCACCCTCCTTGAGGGGGTGGTCACACACATCCACCTCTTGCCTCAGGCAGGGTAGACCGCAGGCAGCAGAGGGATTCCTGGTCCTCGGGCAGGATTTATCTGGACCTGGGGAAACAGCTCCTGGTGCAAAAGTTGGACAGCAAGACCCGACCACTGTCTGGCCACCTGCCCAGCCACCAAAACTGTGGGGCAGAGGGTGAACAGATACAGAAACAGTGTGCCTGGCTCTGGCCAGAGGGGATACACAGAGAAGTGGGTCCTGGGCTCGGGGTGGAACCCAGTCCTCCAGGGTAGGGCCCTCTCACTACACAAGGGATCTAGTCCTCTACACGGCTCCAGGGGAGAACCAGTGATCTAGGGGGGACCCAGCGTCCAGGCAGGACCTGGCACTCCAGGCCATAGCAGCCGTGTGTCCCTGCCTGTGCTTCATGGTGGCATGTGGGAACCGACACAGATGCCTCAAAGTCCATGTCCCAGGCTTGGCTCCTCAACGTGTGTGAAATGGTGTGCAAGACACTGAGAGAATTGAGAGAGACAAAGATGAGGGACAGTGACACAGAAACAGAGATGGAAAGAGAAGAGAGAGAGAGAGAGAGAGGCAGAGACAAAGATGCAGGAGCCACCACTGGGTACAGAGAATATCAACCTGTGTCCTCATATCTAAGGAGAAGACAGAGTGACCAGTGTAAGACCAGCAGGGTCGGCTTTCTACCGAGGGAGGCTTCCTCTGCCCAGGTTTCAGCAAAACAGGACGCTGTGCCTAGGACCCAGAAAAGTGACCCCACAGAGGGCCGGGCGGGCCTCAGCTGGGCGTCCAGGCCGTCTAGGCCTGGATGAAGAGGTGGAAGTTGGTGCGCGTGAACTCGTGGTGGATGCTCTCCAGGAGCGCGTCGGCGTCGGCGGCCGGCTCAGGGGCGCCCGGGGGTGCCGGCTGCACGCTGTACTCCGGGGTGTAGGTGAAGGAGAAGGCGCTGGCGTAGAAGAGCCCGTCGGCACGCACCAGGCTCACGGGCACTGTCATGGGCGTGCGGAGCCAGCGCCAGTCGCTGCCGAAGGCGGCCATGTCGGGCACCACGCACACCAGGGACCTCGGGTTCCTGGGGTTTGCACACAGGGTTAGGGCTGTGGTGACGCCCTGATGACGCGTAGGACTCCTGTCCCGGGGGCCCAAGGGAGGCTGCCGACCACCTGCACACCTACCTGTACATGGTTTCGGCCTCCACATCCCCAAACCACACCTTGAGCCCGGCGTGGAAGTTCTCACCGTGGAGTTCCAGCGTGGCCACGTCTCCCCCACCACTCAGCTGGGGAAGGATGGCGACGCAGGAAAGGAAGGGTCAGAAGCCTGCTGGGCGCCCCCACCAGCACCCCCACCCCTGCACAGGCAGGGCCCAGGCCCGCCGGCGCCCGGATCCACCTCCAGGGTGCTGATGAGGGGCACGGGGGTGACCGGCTCCCGCGTGCGGGCCAGGCTGGTGCTGAAGGAGAATTCCACCGACTCAGTGCCGATGATGGTCCAGCAGGAGTTGTCGCTGAGCAGCGCCCGGTTCGCCTCCTTGGGGCAGGGGGAGGCCTGGGAGGAGAGCCGAGGGGATGCGCATGCGCTTCAGGTGGTGGCCTTGTGGGGGGGGCTGGGAGTCGGGGGGGGGCAGTCGGCAGAGCAGCTGAACTTCTCTGACTGCTGGCTGCACCAGTAGGTTCCTAAAGGCCTTATTTTCTTAGGATTTTAGAGTTTTAGTTGAACATTGGGCAATTCTCTGCAGTAACAGTCTATGATTTTAATATTCTTTGGGCGGGAGGATTGCTCAGTAACGATCATTGTTATTTTCTCTGTATTATGTAATAGTCTGTGACTTAATATTCCTTGGGGAGTAGTAGTGCACAATAAATATAATGACTATTATTTGTATCTTCTAGATTCTATGTCCTAACGTGCCATGCTTCTAATAGTCTTTATACAGTGCTCCCCAATAATATTCCTTCTTATTCCTAGTTACACGCTGTAACTCTCCATGGCAACATTCTGTTATTCTCTGGGATGCCTCCTGCTCCCATTATCAGTGTTTGCTCCACATTTCACACCTCTGTCCTCTGGTCTGTGATGCCAGCACTCGGTAGGAGGCAGTCGTGCTCCCTACGTAGCAGCTACGGCGCTGCTGCGGCTGATCTGACCTTCTTTGCTTCTCCGCGTTCTGCCTTCCCAGGATGCTTCGTGCTAACAGTCGTTTCTCACCTGGAATCGCACCACCTTCTCTGTGGCGAGGCACAGGTAGGTGCCAGCGCCCCCTGGCGGGCCCCCTGGGAACTGGAACGCACACTTGTGCAGCTGGGAGATGGGTTCGTCCACGTCCAGCAGTGCACACTGTTTGGCTACCTTGCGGATGATCTGCAGCGGAAACGTAGTAGGAAGAGTGGCGCCAAGGGGCGCGCATGCCCCGCCAGCCGGCGCGCTGCTACTCTGATAGCATTTCGGCACAGGGTGGGTCCCCTACCCTGTTTGCTCCGCCCAGCCTCCCAAGCACTGAATGTCCCGAGTGATAATGGGTCTCCTTGCCTTAGGTCCCCGCTTCAGGCCTGCCCATGTGGGTTATACTCGGCGTGAATCTGGGGGGGGGGGTGTCTCCCAGTACCGTCTCCGTCCCCATACCATAGGAGGTAGCGTGGTGCCGGTGAGGGTGCAAACCAGCTGCACGAGCGAGCCATAGCGAACGTAGCCCTCTGGAGGCGGGAAGTCCCCTTGGGGACAGCGCTCATCAGCTGAGGTTGAAAGAAAGAAGGGGAGGAGGATGCCAGGGGGCTCAGGCTTCTGCCCTAAACCCGTCCCTTCTGCCTCTGGCCCCACACACATCACATATGGGCCTTCTGCTTAGGGCTGACACTCGAAGAAACGGGTGGGACTGAAGGTTTTAATACTGAAGGGATCATTTGTGACCATCCCTATAATGACTGATTCCTGGAGTCGGCTTGGGGACAGGCACTTGAGCTGAGAATAGGGGACAGGACATGTCTGTTGGAGTCAATCCTGGCTCCCCGGGGCCTTTGGCATGTCTGCTTGCATGGCTGAGCCTCAGTGACTGGGGCCACATTGACCTTCCTTTAGGAGCTGTGGTGAAGATTAAGCTAATACATGTGAGGGGCCCTGTCGGGGCCCGGTGGTGCCATTACCCAGGTGCAGCGTGAAGGCAGCCCACTGGCGCGCACTGGCCACAAAGGCCCCGTCTTCCACTGAGAGGTAGCGCGTGGAGACCGTCTGGGAGCGCAGGCGGTTGAAGAGGGAGACCTTCGAGCCCGAGGAGATGCACACTGTGAACGGAGTTGGAATTAGTGCCTTCGCCAAGCTTGGCCCCCTGGATTTACCAGTTTCTAGCCAGCTGATAGTGCCACTGGCCTAGACCCCTGGGCACTCGGATTCCACAGCTATTTATTTGTACATTTGCAGCCCTGCTTCCACGCCTTTGTCTGTTTCTTTTGGTCACCTGGGTATCCTTCAGTTTAACACACAGGCTTTTATTCACTCAGTGTGTCTTTGGAGCTGGCACTGTTCTGGACACAGGACAAAGGGTGAACTAGACCCAGCTTTTCTTTGAAAGTGGGGGACCCTGGTGGCACAATGGATAAAGTGGTTTTGGTTGCTAACCAGAAGATTAGCTGTTCGAACCCACCAGCTGCTCCATGGGAGAAAGCTGAGGTAGTCTGTTCCTGGAAAGGTTACAGCCTTGGAAACCCTATGGGGCAGTTCCACTCTGGCCTATAGGGTCATTATGAGTTGGAATCAACTCAATGGCAGTGGGTTTTTTTGGCTTCTCTGGAAGAGTTCACGGTCTTGGAGGGAGACAGGAACATAAATATAAAATTTCAATATGATATGGTAAGGCCTGACAACCCAGCAGGGCTTCCTGGAGGAGGTTATACTCTCAGTTGAGACATGAAGTAGGTAAGGAGTTGCAGAAGAGGCTATACAAGCAAAGAGCAAAAATCCAGTGCTACTGGATTGATTCTGACTCACAGTGATCCTATAGGACAGAGCAGAACAGCCCCATAGTGTTTCCAAGGCTGTAAATCTTTATGGAAGCAGGCTGCCTCATCTTTCTCCCATGGAGGAGCTGGTGGGCTTGAACCACCATAGCAGCCCAATGCTTTAACCACAGTGCCACCAGAGCCCCTAAGGAAAGACCAGGTAGTGTGAAACAGAAGTACAGTACTATTAGGGCTTGACATTTCTCTCTTTTCAATCTATCATGCATACTCATTAGACTGTGATCACGTGGGGAGAAAGCACTTCTTCCTCTCTCCCTTCACAGTGCTAATCGCTGTGGGGGCTCACCTTATACTTAGCCAAGTTCCCATCCATTGAATAATGACTGGTAATGCACCGTATGTGTCAACTCATTTGATTTGCTCAACAACTCTCTAACATAGATAGTACTAGTTCCACTTAACACAGAGGGACTTGCTGAAGATCACACAGCTAGCAAGTGGCAGAGCCAGCATTCAAACCCAGACCGTCTGGCTCCAGAATCTCTGAACCATCACACTAAAGCACTTATTACCCCTCCCTGACCCTATGGCCAGTGAGAGCACTGCTTGGATCAGAGGCATTCTATAAGGGCTCTAATAGACAAGAATGTGTACAAAGACCAGGAGGCTGTCATTTGAACAGAACAAGGGGACACTGCATGGTTTAAAATTAAGAACAGTGTGCATCAGGGTTGTATCCTTTCTCCATACTAATTCAATCTGTATACTGAGCAAATAATCCAAGAAGCTGGACTATATGAAGAAGAACAGGGCATCAGGATTGGAGGAAGACACAATAGCAACCTGCGATATACAGATGACACAACCTTGCTTGCTGAAAGTGGGGATGACTTGAAGCACTTACTGATGAAGATGAAAGACTATAGCCTGCTGTATGGATTATACCTCAATATAAAGAAAACAAAAATCAGCATAACTGGACCAATAAGCACATGATAAATGGAGAAGATTGATGTTGTCAAAGATTTCATTTTACCTGGATCCACAATCAATACCCATGGAAACATCAGTCAAGAAATCAGATGTCGTATTTCACTGGGCATTATCTGCTGCAAAAGAGGTCTTTAAAGTGCTAAAGAGCAAACATATCATTTTGAAGACTAAGGTGCACCTAACCCAAGTCATGGTATTTTCAGTAGCCTCAATATGTATGTGAAAGCTGGGCAATGAATAAGGAAGACTGAAGAAGAGCTGATGCCTTTGAGTTGTGGTCTTGGCAAAGAAGACCATGGACTTCCAGGAGAACGAACAAATCTGTCCTGGAAGAAATGCAGCCGGAATGCTCCTTGGAAGGGGGAGTGGCCAGACTTCGTCTCACCTACTTTGGTTAGTTGTCAGAAGGGACCATTCCCGTGAGAAGGATGTCATGCTCAGTAAAGTGGACAGTGAGTGAAAAAGGGGAAGGCCCTTATTGAGATGGATTGATACAGTGGCTGCAATGATGGGCTCAGGCATAGCTAGGATTGTGAGGATGGTGCACGACTGGGCAATGTTTCGTTCTGTTGCACAGAGGGTCGCTATGAGTCAGAGCCACCTTGATGGCACCTAACAACATCAAACAGGCAGAAAATAAGTGTGATATAGGGGTAGAAGCTGGAGTACAGAGTCCCATTGAGACCAAGTTCAAATCCTGACTGGGCCACTTGCTAGCTGGGCAATTGTGGCAAGCCATCTGGAACGTGAAAGGCACTTGGTAAACGTCTCTTAAATGAATGGATGGATATTCCAAACCTCTCCTCGTCTATAAAATAGGCACAGTGCTAGAGCTGCCTCACAGGGACATGCAGGCATCAGACAGGGCAGTGCCTGTGTGTGTCTGCCAGAGGATGGCACAGGCGATGGCAGTGGTGGTGTTGGCCCTGTGGCTCTGGCATATTTCTTCTTGCACATTCTTAAAGCTCCCAGCCCTGGGACTTGCCACTTGACAAGACAGGCCTTATCCCAAACTGTCTCTGACCAGTTAGGTGGTCTCTCTCCCCTGCTGGGCTGTGCATTCCTTTAGAACAGACACCCAATTTATTTCATTGTTGTTGTTGTTATGTGCCATGGAGTCAGACCTGACTCATAGCAACCCCTCCTTGGGTTTCCGAGGCAGTATCACTACGGAAGTAGATTGCCCAACCTTCCTTCCGAGGAATGGCTGATGGATTTGAACCACCAGCCTTCTGGTTAGCAGTCAAGTGCCTTAGGCACTATGCTACCACAGCTCCTAAGAACACCTAATTCAGAGCCGGGCACACAGGAGGCTCAGGAAATCATTTCCATGTAATCCTCTCCGCCCTCTTATCACCCACCACTTCTGAACCACTTTTGTCTGCTCTGGGCCCCCAAATTCCCACCGGCAGCTCCCATACCCCCTCCCCTGACTCCGCTCCTCCCTCATCTCAGACAGCTCCTAGCCCTCCCCCGTCCATTCCACGGTCCAGGCCTTCCGCCTCTCCCAACCTTGGCGACCCCGGGCCTGTCCCATCGCCCTGCCCCGCCTCCGCTCACGGTCGGTGTTTTTCAGCGACTGCTTCTTCTGCGAGGGCTTGGAGATGACCTTAATGAGGCGGCTGTGGAACGTGCCCAGCTCCTGGCCCCCGCGGAGCACCAACCGCAGCACCAGCCGGAAGTGCTTCCTCTTGTCCACGTCCGAGATGAACAGGGTCTTGGCACAGCCGAATTCCTACAGGGCTCAAGGAGAGGGGTTGGAGGGAGAGGGGACCGCTCATTTCGGCCCCCTCGCAGCGAGAGGACCCACCCTCCCCGCAGTGAGCTGACGTCCGTCCCAGGCCTCGCTGCTTCTCCCTTCCTGTCTCTTGGCCCTCCTTTCCAGGGAGAGACATGGGTGGGAGCAAGAACGCAACCCTCTCCCAGGCGCTCTCACCCTGGAGTCTGGCTGCTCCTCGAAATTCAATTTCTGCGTCTCGGCGGCGCTGCCAGACGCGCCGTCCAGCCCCATGTAGCCGCAGACGGTGGGACCTGTCTCTCCTGCCTGCTGGGCTGGAAAGGGATGCGAAGGACGCAGGTGCCAGGCAAGCCTTGTTCTGTCCACCAGAGGGCGCGCAAGCCTGCGCCTGCGACCGCCGGGTTCCCAAGCCTGACTGCGTGCGCCTCCCCACAGAGCGAGGCGGCTGGCAGCGCTGGGGCTCACTCAAGTGTGTCCTCACCTTGGCCTTGCACTGGCTTCACCCTCCAGCCAGGACCTGCCAGGTAGACACAGGGCGGCGGGCAGAAGAACCTGCGGAGACAGTGAGCACTGGACTCATGTATCCATCAGCACTTGGCTGTCTCATAACCATCTCAAAGGTAGCACAACCCAGCAGAAAGCTTGATTGGCCTTTTTACCCCACCCCAGGCTTCTCTAAGACAGTGACCCCCTCTAACATCCACCTTTATTTTTTCACTCCTCTCATTCCACCCACTAGGAAGTCCTACTCATTCCACAATCAAAACATATTTGGAAGCCTTTGGCTTCTTACCGCCTCCATCTTAGAACCTCCATGGGTGCGGTCACTAGGGTTGGAATCACCCAGTGCGGGAACTCAGGGTGTCAACCCCCACTCCGCACTGTGGGCGGGACCGACCAGTAACCCCATCCCCACCCCATCCCCAGAGCAGGGCCAAGGCTGCACTGAAGGCCGGGTCCCCCCTACCCACCCCAGCCCCTTCCCCTGAGGCTCCTAGAAGCTCCTTCCCTCTCCCACTGGCCCAGGCGAAGACACCCCTCCTCCGGGCCCACTGGCTGGCGCTGCAGCCCGCCCTCACCCTGACTAGGGGGCACTGTGGTGATTTAGGGTACTGGGTGACGGTGACACCCCCTGCCCCTGCAGGGCCTCGGTCTCTGGGGTCATTTTGGTGTCAACTCCCTAGTGATGCCACTCACTTCCATCACCTTTTTCTTAGTTTTTTAAAATATACTAAATAAGCCCTCACTAAAAAAACAGCCACTCCTCGGAAGGAAGGTTGGGCAATCCTACTTCCGTAGTGATACTGCCTCGGAAACCCAAGGAGGGGTCGCTATGGGCCGACTCGATGGCACACAACAACAACAACAACAACAACAAACTCATTAGCATAGTGCCTAAGGCACTTGACTGCTCACCAGAGGGCTGGCGGTTCAAACTCACCAGCCACTCCTTTGAAGGAAGGTTGGGCAATCCTACTCCCGCAGTGATACTGCCTTGGAAACCCAAGGAGGGGTCGCTATGAGTCGGGGCCGACTGGACGGCAAACAACAACAACAACAAACTCACTGCCTTCGAGTCATTTTCCTACTCATAGTGACCCCTCCTTGGGTTTCTGAGGAGATATCTCTACAGAAGTAGATAGCCCAGTGTTCCTTCCGAGTAGTGGCTGGTGGGTTTGAACCTCCAGCCTTCTGGTTAGTAGTCAAGTGCCTTAGGCACTACGCCATCAGAGGTCCCTTATAAGCCCTAGGTGGCGCCAATGGTCCGTGCGCCACCGCTAGGCTAAAAGTCGGCACTGCGGACCCAGGAACCCACCCAGTGATAACGTGGAATAAACGGTCTGGCAATTTGCTTCTGTTAAGATCACAGCCAAGAAAGCCCAGCGGAGCAGTTCTAATCTGTAACGCGTGGGGTTGCCAGAAGTCAAAACGGACTTGGCTGGCAATAACAGCAGCAAATATACATATAACATTTGTCATTTCAACATTTTTTACACGTGCAGTTCAGAGACATTAATTATATTCATCATGTTACGCAACCATCAACACTAACCATTTCCAAACTTTTCCATCCCCCTTAACAGAAGCCAGCCCCCTCCCCTGAGCAATGAGTCCCTCTTTCCCCCGCCCTCTCACCCCTGGTGACCTCTGATACACTTTGGTCTCTACACATCAGTCATGCTACGCGTCTCCTATCAGAGAGGTCATATTCTATGCTTCCTTTTGCCACCATCTTTTGCGGGGACCACTACACTACATCAGCCTTCCAGCTGGTCTCTCTTCCCTTCCCGAACCGTCCCATCTGTTTTGCACATAGCAGTCCCAGTGCTTTACAAAAGCATACATCAAATCACAGCCAAAGAGGTTAAGCTGTTCAGCAGTTATTTTGGGGGGACATGCTCATCCCCTCCTCCTTGGTTTCTACTGCACTCTCCTGTTCTATTTCCTTTCTAACACTCAAGGCACTCTCCAGATACCTTGTTTACTAATTTGTGGTGGATGTTGTGTGCTGTAGATTCCGACTCCTAGCAACCCTACAGGACAGAATAGAACTGCCCCATAGGGTTTCCTAGGCTGTAATCGTTATGGGAGCAGATGGCCAGGTCTTTTTCCCTCAGAGTCACTGGGTGGGTTCAAACCACTAACCTCTCAGTTAGCAACCAAGCACTTAACCAGGCTCCTTGTTTACTGTGCTGGGGGGAGTTTATTGTCTGTTTCTCCCATCCTCGAATTAAAGAGCTCACGTGAACACTTTGAATTCAAATTCTGGTGTCAGCGAAGCCTACTGAATATACCATGGGCTGCCAGAAGAATGAACAAATCTGTCTTGGAAGAAGTACAACCAGAATGTTCCTTAGAAGCTTTGGACATGTAATCAGGAGGGACCAGTCCCTGGAGACGGACAATATGCTTGGTAAAGTGGAGGGTCAGCCAGAAAGAGGATGGTCCTTAAGGAAGTGGATTGACACAGGGGCTGCAATAATGGGCTCAAACCAGCCCTGCCCCTGAGGATGGGGAAGCGCTGAGAATGTGGCATTCTGTTGTAGGTATAGCCACTACGAGTCAGAAACGACTCGAGCGCACCTAACAACAATGAGTGGGCACTGTGTTTTGCTCACTGTGCCCAGAAGGGCCCACAGTGCCAGCTACATCATAAGCACTCAGTAAGTAGTTGTTGAGTGAACCAATGAATACGTGAATGGCGGCTGGAGATCCCCAGAACGGTTCTGCAGAACAAAGCGGGATCCCAAGTGGTGGTGATCCCAAGGCCAGTAGCCAAGGCCCCGAGGCCTCCCGGGGGCCTAAGAGGCACTGAACATCGAGGAAACACACTGGCTGAGGGCCGCGGCCCCGGAAGCCTGCCAAGCACCTACCGCTTCTCGTTTCCGTACGATTTCTGCGCCACCTTGGCGTGCAGGATCCGCACTGTCTGCTCGCACTGTTGCTGCAGACATCGACGCACGCCTTCCCGCAGGGCGGCGGCGCCCTCTGGGGATGACCTGGGAGTGGGCGCAGGAGCGTCAGAAGCGAGCCGGCACCGCGCCCTCGGAGCGCAGGTGGGATGAAAGGAAGCTGGGGACTGTGGGGTGGGGCGGGGGGGGACTATGCGGGCGACTCCGGCTCTAAATATTTGGGCTACGCGGTACGCAATGAGGCCTCCTCTGAGCCCACCGGGACCACCCAGGCGCCTCTCGGCGGGTCTGGCTCCGTTCCAACTGCAGCTGGGCTCAGGGCACCAAGGCTGCACCTGTGTAGCATTGGGGGGCGGGGTTTGTGGGGCCAGCGGTCTCCCCGCACCTTGAAGGAACCGGGTTGGTGGAACTTTCCCACTCTGGCGGGGTGGAGCAGCGCCTTTGCGGGCCTCGCCGCCCAGCGCGTGCTCTCCGAATCAACCCCCTCACCCCAAACCGTGTCCTCAGGACCCTGGGGAAACACTTGAGTCTTTCTGGAAGCAAAGCGCTCCCTTCCGTCCACGGGAGGGGGCCCGTTGGTGATCCGCCTTCGTTAGCTTGGCCACGCGGCCTCCCTCGGCGGAGGGAGCCAGGCCAGAGCCTAAGGCGCTGGTGGCGTCTCAACTTGGAGGCTTCGGTGGGTGGGAGCGAGTAGGCTCAAGGCCTAAGTCACTGCAGGAGACGTGTCCGGAGTCCGGGATGAGAGAGACTGGGGGACCAACAAGTGGGCCCGGGGAGGACCTCGAACCTCTTGACGAGCGCGCTCTACGTTCTTGGCAAGCCCGGGGCCCGGGTCTCCCCCTCACTCCTGCAGGCAGCAGCGGCGGCCAGAGCCGGGCGCGCCCTCGGACGCAGGGCCAGGCAGCCGGCGACAGCGCCAGACCCCGCTCCGCCCCTTGGGGCTCTCCTCAGGGAAGCGCCTGGGAGCCTTCCAGCGCATTCCGGCTGCGCAGTGTCGCCGCCCCAGCCTCGCGCTGCAGCCGGATTCCGGCCGCGCGGCGCGTGTCTGCGGCCCCCGGGGCTGGCGGGCCAGGGGCGCTAAGCTGGCGCCGCTCGCCCCGCCCCAGCCCTCCGGCGAAGGGCGGGGGTCGCTCCCTGAAGTGGGAGGGGTCGCAGCCGGCGCTCCCCTCCCCCCCCGCCAGCCTGGGTTAAATGTGGCCGCCGCCCCCGCCCGCTCCAGCGGCTTGGCGGTCCCCACCCTCGACCCGCCGCCCGCGCAGTTACCTGGTCCAAGTGCCGGGGAGGCTCCGCCCGTCGGCTCCGCTCTGCGGCCGCGCCTCGGAGCTGTCCCGCAGGCTCAGGTGAGTCAAAGGGCCTGGGGGCGCTGGGGGCCCTGCGGTGGAGCAGGGGTGAAGCCAAACCCGGCGACCGCATTGACCGTGCCCCATCCGCCGCTGCGCTTTCTTTTCCCACTTCTGTGGGGACGTTCCTAAATTGAGCCCTCTTCTGCGAGGCCGCACAAACTAGGGGCTCGGTCTCTAATCTCATCCCTCCAGATACCCCCGGAACGTCTCCAAGGAAATTGGTCCGCCAACTCTTGAGGAATTAGTCAAGACCTCCTCCCCCCAGTCCACGTTCTCCACCCTAAGGACATCTGTGAGTCTTTCACTTCAACGCAAGGATTAATCCCTTAGAGGGGCTCCTCTTTCCACTGTCATCCCTGCCACCTAGCTGCTGTGTGACCTTCGCTGAGCCATTGCCGTCTCTGAACCTAGTTCCTTCTATAGGAAGGGGGCTGGGGAAAAGTGATGGCCTTTGAGGGAGTTGCTATTTTGACTTTCTGGGACCCCTAGGGCGGGGCGGGGCGCCAGGTGTGATGTCGGCTCAGGCCAAGAGGTTTGGGGGATTCAGAGGCTTCCGCAAGCAGGAAAGGATGGGGTGCTGGCCTCGGCTCCGGCCCAAGTCCCCCGCAGCTGGCACCTCTGGCCTCAGTTGCCCTCCCTCGGGGCTCTCAGTCTGCCCAGAGGGATTTGTGTTCCTGGACCAGGCCCGGAGGCGAAGGAGGCGGAGCGGCAGCCGGACGGAAAGGCCGCCTGCAGGGAGCTGCGGGCCCGACCCTGCTTAGAATAGGCCCTTTCACGGGATTGGGGGTGGGGCACGGCTGCGGTTGGGTTAGGGGCAGCGGGCCCCCTCTGCCAAGAAACTGCAACAGGAGAATAGTTAAAGCCAAGGAGAAATGGGGGGAGGGGGCAAGGGAGTGGAGTGGGGTGGGAGGAAGGGAGTGCATGGAAAGAAAAGAGGGCTCGTGATGCCAGTGATGCCAACGGCTAAGCGCTTGGCTGCTACCCGAAGGTTCGCAGAGCGACCCCCGCGGCGGATCTGCGATAGAAAGACCTGACCATCTGCATCTGTGATGATTACAGCCAAGAAAACCCCACAGGGCAGTTCTCTGTAACGCATGGGTCGCTATGAGTCAAAACTCAACTCGAGGACGCCTAATAACAAAAACAGACTCCAGGCAGCCCAGGAGAGAAAAACGGGAGCCAGGCGTTCCAGGGTCTAGTTCTGCCTTAACAGCTCGGCGCGCCACCTTCGGAGTCTCAATTTTCCCATCCGTACAATGGGGGTCCTTCGTGACTTTGAAGGAGGGTCTCTGGGGCCACGGGAGGGTGAGCGCTCACCTGCTGCCCCCACAGGGTCCATGGCCAAGCTCTCCGGACTCGGCCGCTCGCTCGCTGCCCTCTGGCCAGTGCCACCGTCCCCAGAACCCTGCGCGCCCTTGCGACCCGGTCCCTGCGTCGGATATATCCTGCCTGGGGCCTTATCTCCAAGGCCCTGGGGCTCCCGGCACTCTGTTTGCTCTGGGCAGGGGCACCTGCTGGGCAGCTGTGAGCTTCCCACGGGGCGCTGCCAGGCCCGGGTAGCGCCCCCTGGCGGCCTCTCCTGAGAGAGGGTCAAAGCCCTGGCCAGCCGGGCTCCGCCTTGCGAAAGGGAGGGCCGTGCCCGAGGCCTGCACTTGATGGTGTGTGTGTGGCTGGGTTGGTGGTGTGTGGTGTGGTGGTGGTGGTGGTCACCATGGTGAGGACAGATACACAGAGGAGCCTTATGTGAGAAGGTGAGAGTGTCGAGGTCTGCAGAAGTTAGCCTCCATCGAGAAAGGAACTCTGAGCGCCCTTGCCTAGCTCTCAAACTCCAGTAGGCATAAGACTATCATGGTGCAACCACTTCCTCCTTGTGTGGATTTGGGTACTGGCAGTTAACTGTCCTGAGCCTCAATTTGCCCATATGTATGTACAATAGGAACAATGACAGTGTTAGCCGCATAGAATTGCTGAGACGGTTATAAATGTCACACTCTATGAAAAGCTTTTAATACTTTGGGTGACATTTTTAAATTTTGTAGTTTGACATATTTGTTTATTTATTTGTATATTCTGCAACACCACAAAGTGGAATTTCTTCTGCTTCCCAACAATCGCACTGTGACGAGACTTGACTATGAAAAATTTCAGATACACACAAAAGCAGGAGAGATTAGTAAAATAAACCCTTGATCAAAATCATTATCATAAATAAATAAGCCTGGATCCTCTTTCTCCTGAGTGCCCATCGCTCAGAGTAAGAAGTCTTTAAATATTATTGCTTTGCCATTCTCCTTCCACCCTCCAGGCTCTGACACCCCCGTTCTTGTCCCCCACGCGCCATGAGGGGTCTTCCGTGCTCACCACTTCCGGTGTTGCTGCTGCTCCTCTCAGCCTGGAAAACCCAGCTCCAATTCGCAGGTGAGCGCCTCCTAGTGGACAAGGGGAGCAGAAGCAGCTTCTCCATCTGCCGAACGCCCGGCCTGCTGGGGAGAGACAAGGGGTTTGGAATCCCGCGGCCTGGCTTCTAGATCACCGCTTTTCCTCTCTGGACTTCAGTTTCCCCGCCTGTAGGATGTGGCTTAGAGGTCACAGACTTGGGTTTATGACCATTTGGCATTTACTTTAAAAAAAATTAGTTTGAAAACATTGAAAAATTAGGAGATTTCACATACAACTCTTGATTTGGGACGCCTTTGGTAGACATACCCACGTAGCCACGCTTGGCTGGAGCTTTTGGCGGGCTGTGGGCCCTCTGGGTGTCTCCCATCCTAACTCAACCAGTTCACTTATTTGTGTTGCCTTCCTGACTCCCCAGGAGTCCTTGGGTGGCACAAACACTTTGCACTGGACTGCTAACTTAACGTTTGGTGGTCTGAATCCACTCAGCATTGCTGCACAAGAAAGCTTGGCAATCTGCGTCCATAAAGATTACAGCCAAGAAAACTGTGTGCATCGGTTTTACTCTGTAACACGTGGGTAGCCATGAGCCAGAATGGACTCCACAGCATCTTTTGTGCGGGGCCAGGCCCCTATAGGCATTTGCATTTACCCCCCCCCATACACACACACACACACACACACACACACACGTTTCATGGATAATGCCTCCTCAGAACAGCCCTTAAAGTGCAGGATGGAGAATTTGTGAAATCTGGGCCGGGCTCTCAGCCGGGCTGGATAAATGAATGCATGTAACGTACATTTGCCAGCTTGGTCCGGTGATGGGGGCTGTGATGGGGGATAGCAGCATTCCCCTAAGTTTCCCTGGGGGTGTCTTCGGAGTTGAGGTTTATGCTGACCTGGGACAGACGCCTGCCCTGGTGTCTCTGCAGGTCCCAAGTGCCGAACTGGGCCCCTAGATTTGGTGTTCGTGATTGACAGCTCCCGCAGCGTGCGCCCCTTCGAGTTTGAGACCATGCAGCAGTTCCTTGTGGGCCTCCTGCGTGGCTTGGACTTGGGGCCCAACGCCACGCGCGTCGGTGTGATCCAGTATTCCAGTCAAGTGCAGAGCGTTTTCCCACTCGGTGCCTTCTCGCGCCTGGAAGACATGGAGCGCGCCATCCGTGCCCTGGTGCCGCTGGCGCAGGGCACCATGACCGGGCTGGCAATCCAGTACGCCATGAATGTAGCCTTCAGCGAGGCCGAGGGCGCGCGCCCGCTGGAGGCGCGCGTGCCGCGCGTCGCCGTTATTGTGACCGACGGACGGCCCCAGGACCGCGTGGCCGAGGTGGCGGCGCAAGCACGCGCCCGTGGCATCGAGATTTATGCTGTAGGCGTGCAGCGTGCCGACGTGGGCTCCCTGCGCGCCATGGCGTCGTCTCCGCTCGATGAGCACGTCTTCCTTGTTGAGTCCTTCGACCTTATCCAGGAATTTGGCAGACAGCTCCAGGGCCGGCTGTGTGGTGAGTTAGGGGAGCCTTGGAGCGAGCCTCTCACTCTCCAGTAGCTTGGATTCTGGTTCTCGCGACAGTAAATTCTGTCCTTTCCCGGTATCGCCCTGGCTTTGCCAGTTTCAGCGTTGCCAGCCTGGTGGAATCGAGTTGCTATGATTTGCCACAGGCCTGTGTCACATTCCCCGGGGCTGATGTAAAAGGTTAGCCTTCAGCTACTAACTCAAAGGTTGGCGATTGGAATGTTCCCGGAGGCGCCTTGGAAGAAAGACCTGACAAGCTACTTCTGAAAAAGCAGCCATTTAAACCTTACGGTGTATAATTCTACTCAGACACATAGGAGGCGGTGCTAAGTTGGAACTGACTCCGTAGCAAATGCTTTGTGTCAAATATCAGCTCCGCCCATTTTTGCTTAGGCTCCTCCCACAAGGAGCAAAGCTTGCCCCGCCCATCTGGGCGTGGCTGTTCTGGTTGACCACGGGCTTAAGGTCAAGCTCCAGTGCAGCCCAGGCCCCGCCCACAAGCACAGCCGCTCAAAGCAGAGAGCAGTCACCCACTCCAAAGAGTCACACCATCACTCCTCCCATTGTCATCTTGGCTCCTCCCACAATCCTGTAAGACTGTTCCAGCCACACTTTGCATTCCTCCTCACACACCTTGATTTAGCGCCTCTCCACCTCCACCAGTCCCCGTGTTGTCCTGCCTTATCCTACTGACTCCTCTAACGCTATATATGTACCCTGTTGTTGTTGTTGTTAAGTGCCGTGCAGTCGTTTCCGACTCATAGCGACCCCATGCACAGCAGAACCAAACACTGCCCGATCCTGCGCCAGCCCCACAATCCCTGCTATACTTGAGCTCATCATTGCAGCCACCGTATCAATCCATCTCGTTGAAGGCCTCCCCCTCTTTCGTCGACCCTCCACCCTACCAAGCATGACATCCTTCTCCAGGGAATGGTCCCTTCTTACAACATGACCAAAATAGGTGAGGCGAAGTCTGGCCATTCTTGCTTCCAAGGAGCATTCTGGCTGCACTTCTTCCAGGACAGATCTGTTAGTTCTTTCAGCAGTCCATGGTACTTTCAGCATTCTTCGCCAGCACCACAACTCAAAATCATCAACTCTTCTTCGGTCTTCCTTATTCATAGTCCAGCTCTCACATGCATATGAGGCTATGTACCCTAGCTGTGATGTTTTCTCAGTTGCCACTTGATTTGGTTCTGACTCATGGTAACTTTGTGAGTAGCAGAAGGATACACACTGCCTGATCCTACATCATCTTCCAGCTCGATATTGGGCAGTATTCTGTTGTGATCCATAATGTTTTCATTGGCTAATATTCGGAAGTAGATTGCCAGGCCTTTTATCCTAGTCTTACTTTGGAAGCTCAGCTGAAACCTGTCCACCATGGGTGACCCTGCTGGTGTTTGAAATACTGGTGGCATACTTTCCAGCAACTCAAGCCCTATTCTTTCCCTAAACTCTGCCACCTGGATTTGCCCTCCCTACATGTAAGTCTTATCCTGACTTGAGGATGAGGCCTGCCTCTGAAGCCATCCCCATCCAGCTCTCTCCTGCTGGAGGGCCCTGCTCACTTGTGTCCTGGTGAGTCTAGTCCTCTGTGTCCTCAGGGAAGGATCTGTGTGCTGAGGGGCAACACGGATGCCAGCATCAGTGTGTCAGTGCCCCGGGCACGTTCCACTGCACCTGCAACCCTGGCTACCAGCTGGCAGCGGACAACAAGAACTGTTTGGGTGAGAGCCCCCATGACTTACTATCCTGCTGCTCTGAGGCCTTCTGTGGCTCCTGATGGAACCCCTGAGTCTAGAAGGGGCTTTGGCAGTCAGAGTCTGACTCCCTCACTTTACAGGCCTAAGCAAGAGAAGAGATTGCGTGTCCTACAGTCTTTGAAATCTACTTCGCCATCCATTCCTTCTGCTCCTTCAGGCCAGTCTCCCACCTGCCCCAATCACCCGTCCATATTTGTTCTCGTCTTTGCACAGGCTCATTCCTGCAGTTTCTGGCACCTAGACACTGTTGGGGTCTTCAGTTTGGTGGGTGTCCACACGGTGCCCCCGACATGCTGCTCATTCCTCTCTCTGCCCCCTGCTCTCTCTGCGCCTTCCCTGGGCCACCTGGCAGTCCTGTTTGCCTCTCTAAATCTTTCAAGGCCCGGTCCTTAATTTTTGTCTCTGAAAAGCTATGACATACAGTGCCTTGCTTATAGAGTTGGGATTTTCTGTTTTGGGTATATGACTACCCCCTGTGGTCTTAATTACAGCTACCATTTAAACTAACCCCCCAACCAAATCTATTGCCATCAAGTTCATTCCAATTCACAGTGACCCTATAGGACTGAGTAGAACTGCCCCATAGCATTTCCAAGGCTGTCAATCTTTACAGAAGCAGACTGCCTTATCTTTCTTCCATGGAGCGGCTGGTGGGTT